TTTCAATTAATCTAACTACATCAGAAATCAAGATGACAAAAAAGCTTAGAGACTTTATATATGACTATTTCGATTCTGGCTAGTAGCTTTTCGCCGGCAGTTGTAGTACATGCAAGTACTTGATATACACTGGATATTAACAAGAATAATTTGAATTCTACTACATAGACAAAGATTTTTTGAAGGATCCTATCTACTTTGGATAGAACGATTATATTTCAAGAGGAAGATTAATTTAAATGCTTGATGATGATAATACATTTTTTTCTTGCGAATAAACATTCTAATAATATAAAGTGTTTTTTGCAAGGTATAATGTTTAAAAGGGGACATCAGATGTACTCTAAGTTATTTCCTAAGAAATTTGTGCATGCTTGGATTTAAAAATTATAGCAAATTAAACTGGATAATTTTTATCTGTTCTCTATAGAGATGGAACATATGATAACTCTGAATTTAAATATATCTTTTACATGTTTGGAAATACCACTTATCAGATAAAATCTTATAAAACTGAAGCCAATAATATATAATCTTCTGCCATATTTTAAAAATCATCATCTGCTATGCTTTTTGCTGAGTATTCAAAAACTGGAGTCAATTGCATAACACTTAAAAGTTCAAAATCTAGTGGATACCTTTCTTATATTTACTCAACAAATTCAGACATGACTTGTGTTTTTTATTTGTATCAAGAGAGTAATGCAACTAATATCACTCTAACTCATTATTTTCTCAAATAAGAATTTCCATCTTCGTTTTAAACTCCAACTTATGTATCAGCGACATAAACAAATTTAACCATAAAAAACATATCTGATATATTCCCCACCAATGATAATTGCTACTTGTTCAACTCTCCAATTATCTAGAGTAATTTCACGTTTTACATAGGGTAAGGATAGCAATCTTTTAATATAACAAATTTCCCCTATGATGGATAAACATTAACCCCTAGCAATAGTTATGACATTTGTGAAATAAAACCTTCTTATTCAGTTGAATTTTATGACTCTAATTATATTATGTTAACTAATCCAAACTTTTTTGTCGAAAAACTAGGCTAAAAAATTACAATTAAAGAAGATTCAGATTTGAATTAAACAACATATTACATTAAAGTTGGAAGTTCCCTTACTGACAGAGACTAGAAGAATTTCTATCACATTATGGTTGAGGTTTCTTGTAGTAAAATAGATATTAAGGTAAATGTATCAGAGATTTCCCTTAATCATACGATACTAGAAAGCCCTAAAAAAAGTGTCGTCAATCAGTTTTTCAGCTCTAGCTATAACTTAAGATGTGGATACAAATTAAAGCTTAAACTTAATCCTTCCTATCAGTTTGATTCTGAAATCATCGAATTTGATCCAGTGACTGGAACAATCAGATATCAGAGTACTAGGTATAATTAAGCTGGATATTATAGGTTTTATATTCAATCTTATAATGATTTTAACGAGGAAAAAGCAT